TTGTAACGCTATGTAACCTCCCAAGTTATCTCGGGTCCGGACGGCAAGGTTTGGTTTTGAACACTATTTATTCGTAAATGTTAATACAGTGGGTGATCGGTTAACGAACATAATCCGTTCCAAGACTTTGTTCGCTATCCGAATTGTTCGTTAACTGATTATCAATTTACCACAGGTTTGTATGGGAATTTGATTAATTCGTTCTGGAGACCCCAAAAATTAAAAAAATATATACTTTCTTACTACGTTCATTTATACTGTATTTAATAATAAAAATACATATATACGCAGTCTTGCATTTTTATTAGTTATGTTTTTTTTTGTTTTTGGGGGTTAAAGAATCTGTCTAATGTCGATTGCTTTTCTCTCTTCTTCAAGATTTTCAGAAGTAATTACAGTAATAGCATTGTAATTGTAGAGATCCCCAAGCCTATTAATCTCAACCTGGTTTGTATGCCATTCTAAGACCGTTGATCTGACATCCCCCACTTCTTCAAAAGATCTTTAATTAATAGCAGATATCATGTTGGTCGGTGACTGGAGCGCTCTCTGGTGAAGAGTGGGAAACTGCGGTTCAAGGTCTGGATGGTCTGTGGTAAGACTCGAAGATTACAGAATGTTCGAGATTCGGATTTAGCGGAAAGTTGTAGTACCTTCTGTTCCCTATTTAAGTGCTGTAATCAGTGCGAGTTGACACATTTGAGCTTGTTCAGAACATACCGCGAGCGAGGTTTTTTTGAAACGTCGTTGCGCCCATTTGCAATACTGGATTTCTTACGTCGTTTTAAATTAATAGCGAGGTTGAAGCCGAAGTTTTAAACGCGAAAACGTGTACGTCAGACGTTCAGCGCCGCTTTCCTGTAAGCCCAGAAGTTTGACAATGGATTTTGATGATGTCTTTATTATTGAAATTTTAAGAAAATTCATACAATACTAAATAAGGAAATAATAACAAGTATACCACACTCCAATAATTTTTTTACGATTGAATAATAAAATACGATTGAAAATTGTAGCTAGCTACTTTTGCAGCAGTTTTGCTTAATTAGATGGTTTTGAAATGGTTGATTTTGCAAGTATCTACTTCTGCTAGTTGAAATAAAAGAAATTTGTACAAAATATTAAACGTTTTTTTTTTTTTTTAAGATTTCTAGTGTAGGGAGACCGTTCAAAAGCTTAAATTCTTAATTCTTTTAATTTTGATGGGAAATGTAGTAATAGTTATTTATTTTCTTTTAGGGAAACAGAAGAAGAATAAACCAGTTAAAAGTAGTAGCGAAAGTGATAGCGGCGGAGAAGAGAAATCGAAGCAGAATGTTGGCGCTTGCACAACTGCACCTGCATCTATTACTGTTTTAAGTGTATCAAGTGAATCTTCGCTACCATCTGGTTCTGGTACACAGGATCAAACGTATTTTGATAATGATGTGGGTCACTGGCTTGGACATTCGTTTAGTATGACCTCATCTCAAAAAATGAAAGTTTTAAAAAATTGTTGGTCACCAACTCCAAGTTATGACTTTGATAAAGATGCTGTGCAATTAAAAAGAAAATTCAAATACAGCTGGCTGGCGGATTATACTCCTTGGCTGGCGTATTCCAAGAAATTATAGAGCGCGTTGTGCATTTACTGTGTGTTGTTTCCACCAACTAATGTGCATGGTATTTTGGGTTTTTTTTTTATAGTGAGACACTTTACTTTCTATAAAGACATGCACAAATTTGCGAAATCTCACACGTCATCTGTGGCACAAATCGGCGGCCACAGCAGCAAATGTTTTGTTGAAAATATACCCGTTGATGCACAGCTGAAATCAGCTGTGCATCAACGGGTATATTTTCAACAAGAATACCACCAACAAGAAACAGAAAATGAAGCCAACAAGAAAATTGTTGCATCAATAATTTAGATTGTGATGTTTTGTGGTACACATGACCTACCTTCGAGGGACAAAAAACATCATGAAGGTGTTTTTGAAGACTTGATCAAACTCAAAATTGACGCTGGTGACCACATTTTAAGAGAGCAAATAGAAAAGGGGCACAAAAAACGCCACTTACATGTCACCACAGATTCAAAATGAAATAATCGGCCTAAGTGGCGACGTCATTAGAGACATCACTAATGACATAAAGAAAACACGTGCTTACAGTATCATGATAGACGACAGCAGTGATCAGAGTCAATAGATATACTGGTCCTTGCGCTATGCGCTAGTACAGTTAAAGCTTCAGGTTGCCGATAGCTGGCGTGAGAGTCGCTGTTAGGCAAGAAGTGTTTATCTATTTCAGGGATGGCGAACCTTTTTGTGTTCGCATGCCATATTGTAAGCATACTTAGCTTTAAAGATGTTTATGAGTGTCAAAGTTTCAGACTTCGAACAACGATATTTAAAGAAATTAAACGAATACGCTTTAATTACAATAAATGTAAAAAAACTGGTTGAAAAAAAGATGATCAGGTGATAAACCGAAAAGATGATTGAAAAAGACAAAAATCGTATGATACATTACGTGCCAGATGATTTCTCCATACGTGCCACTTTGGGCACGCGTGCCATAGGTTTGCCACCCCTGATCTATTTGGTTAGTAAATAGTTATTCCCGTTTTCAAGCATTTTTGTAACTTTTCTACTGTTCTGTCAAAAAAATCTTATTCGTAATTACATTTTTTAATTTTATATCTATACTATTATAATAAAGAGGTAATGTTTGTAAGTAAGTTTGGATGTAGCCAAGGACTTTAAACTACAAGGATAGCCAGATCCCGTATATTTGTTAGCGTGACCTTGGATCTATGTGACATCACAGCAAGTCCTCTACTTCAACATGACAGATCTTTCAAATAACAAAATACGATAAAATATTAAATCATTTCTTAATTAATTATTAAATTACTACTAAATGTAAACTACTGTAGAATTTTCGGATTTAATAAGTGTACTGTACGTCAATAAATTTACAAGTCTTTTGTCTAATATTTATTTAACAAATTAATGAGCTATATTTTTTATTATGTGATTATCTTACTTAACTTTTTAATTTTTTTTCGACAATCACCATTTTCAGAAGGCATTCTTTTCAATATTTTATAGTTTTCTTGTTTAAGATTTCTATAATTAATTCTTATTATAGTTCTTAATTTACAAAAATCTTTTATTAAAGTAAAAGGTAAAACTGTTTCCACTGACTAATTCTGTACAACTCCGGGGCCTTTTTTATACGATTCATCGTGATATATTTCGAAATATTTATTCCATTCTATAATTTTTGCTAGCCATTCATCAGTAGGTTTAATAAGCCCTCCATAAGATAAATGTTGCACCCATGACGGAATGCTATAGTTGTAATGATTTTTAATTTTGTTAGTGGAATTAATTAAGTTTGGGTATTTTTCTTTATATTTATAGGCAAAATATCCTGCTATATACTCGAGAGCATCGTAGGAAGTTTCTTCAGAGATTGTGTTAAAGTCTAGATTGCATGTAGAGTTTCCTGAAGATTTATTTGAAGAAAAAGTAGTTTTACATTCAGTATATTGGTCTGTATTTTCACTTGATACTTCTACATGTGCTTTCTCTAAAACTTTGGGTATAATATATTCCTCTTGTCTTCGATCTGTAGTATTTACTTTTGACTCTAAAATACCAGGATTCTTACCTAAAATAATCAATCTAATCCTATATATAGCATTTAATGGGCTTGGATGTTCATTAGGACCCCGGCTTCTAATTTGAAAAAAAAAAATTTTCCAGACAATCTTGATTTAAGTGCAGATGTATTTTATATCAAAAGTCGATTTCATATCTTGAAAAAGATCAATTAGCGATTTCATTGAGATTATCATTCCTTTCTGGAAAATTTGGAGGGCATTTTTTCCACTTGCTCTCATTGTTGAGATTATTTTTATCATTTTATTTAAATGTTCTTCTTGTAATTCCAAGTCTACACCATATCCATTTTTGCTTGGAACAGAACCTTATGGTGCATAGCTATTAAAAATGTCGAACCACATATTTATATCTCTAATATACAAATAAATATAAATATTATATAGTCTCTGTAAATCCGCACGAAAAATATATAAATTTTAGGTTTAGCGGTAGACCATCACACAGCAGATAGCTAATTACTTCTCTTTATTTAATCACTGTATATGCATTTCGGTCCTATTAAAGAACCCTCTTCAGTACTACAAAACAAATATTATAATAAACCTTATGCGAGTAAAACTACCAATATAACAAATAATATTTTAGTTTTNAAACAGTATCGTAATTCGCCAAGTGCAAATCAGCAAATTCGTAAAATTTTTGTTTATTTTGAACAATCCGGATAATCGAAAATCCGGATAATGGAGGTCCGGATAATCGAGGTTCTACTGTACTTATATTTTCAATAATTACCAATTAGATGATTAAATACTAAACTGTTCTCTCAAATTGGCGAGTCTTAAGCATCGCGTTTTTTCGCCCATATGAAAAGCCATCTCTGTACTTTGAATATATTACATTGACGGCCGGATGACGGGGCGGTTAAAGTGGCAACCAACTGCTTTAGAGGATCTGAACGGGTCGAAAAATCCCGGGAATTTTTCGGGGAGTGGTCCGTCCTGATACTTCAAGCTCATCCCTTATCACGCGACCGCCTCATTGTAAGGGTCGAACGCATAGTTTGCTAATTATAAAGGCTCTCTTTAGAATATTATAGTTATTATTATTATTATTATTATTATTATTATTA